CACCCCCCCCCCAAATTCTCTTCCCCTGCAGGGCACAGAAGTGGATGAAACGGAAGCCATGTTGGCGGACTTTGTGGACTGTCCCCCAGATGAGGAGAAGGTGCCGTCCGAACCCAGTTCCTGAGGGGGCGCTGGAACCGCCGTGGTCAACGGTGGTGGGCGAAATGGGGGCTGAGAAGAGGGGCACTGTCATCCCTGAAACAGACGTTCCCCGCTGGCGCATCACTGCCTTCTGGACTTAGGAGCCTCCATATTCTATTTTTTATGTGTTTGTGTTTTGAGGGGAGGAAGGTTTTGGGTTTATTTGTTTTTTTTAATACAAAAGACATTCAATAAAATTTCTTTATACTGCACGTTCACTTTGGTTTGTGGTGCAACGGGGGCCAAGGCAGCAGGGCGAATCGGACCCCTGGGGGGGTCAAGGTGGAAGATTTATGCTTCTCCGGAGGGCTGAACGAACGAGAAAGGAGATTCCGACTGAACCTCAGAAGAACTTTCTTGACGGGAAGAGACTCTCTTGGAAGGTGATGGACTCTCCTTCAGTGGAGGTTTTTAAGCAGAGGTTGGTTGGATGGCTGTCTGTCATGGATGCTTTCGTTGAGATTCCTGCATTGCAGGGGGTTGGACTAGATGACCTTTGGGAATCAGGTTTTCCTGTGTGATCCAACACCTGCACACTTGATCAGTAGGCAGAGCCTTTTTGGTATTGTCGCTCTGCGAAGTAAGAGGCTCCGCAGTTGAGCTTGGTGAATGAAGGAGCAGTTTCAGGTTCTGCAGCCAGCCGTCTCTGGCCGCCTGCCAGACAACCTCCCATTGAATGCTGCATTCGGGTCGTTTGCCAGTGTGAAGGGCACAAACCAACCAGATCAGTTTCGGACCAAGCTTGACCTCTACCCAATGCATGGCACACACCCCCATAACAGCAGTGGAATCCCCTCCAGTGGCCTAGAGGTGCTTGTCAGTGTGTGTGTGTGTGTGTGTGTGATTGTAATACAAAATTTAATGTAAAATATGCCTAGGTCATACCTAATAATATAGATAACTGAATACTTGGCAGTCATTTTTATTTACACATTCTTTAGGCAATTCTACACACATTTCCCCCATCAAAAAAAATGTCAAGTGTCCCTATTGAGATTAATTTTGTCAACTTGCCCCCAGTTCTCCAATCTGTAATGGTAATTCTGTGCCATTAGCTGCCCCTCCCAGTTTGGTGTCATCTGCAAACTGGATGAGCATCCCCTCAATTCCTCCATCCAAGTCGTTTATAGACAGACGGAGCAACAACAGGCCCCGGACAGAGCCCTGGAGCCCCCCCGGTCACCAATCTATGGCGTAACCTCCTGGGGGGTACAGTCGCCTCTCCTCATGAAGGATGTTTGGGGAGTTGGAAAAGGGCTGCCAAAATGATCAAGGCAGACTTGGCTATGAAGAAAGGTTGCAGCCTTTGGGGCTCTTTAGTTTAGACTTCAGAGCAGGGGTTCCCAATTAGCTAATTACTGAGCCCCCCCCCCATTGTCAAAAGCCAAGCCTGGCCCAGAGAAAGTGGGAAGGAGAGTCGCATCTCCTGGCAGTGGAACTCAAAGACATCCAAGGAGTCGGGATGTTGGAAGATTCAGGACAGATAAAATTAAACACAAGGCAGAGTTCGCCTGCGGAACTCCCCGGCACTGGACACCGGAGAGAGGAGGGGGATGCTGGGGGCGCTGGCTTGCCAAGGGTTAAAGGGGATTGAGCGGGATTCCTAGAGGGGAGAGGAAGTCAAGGCGGGGGGGGGGTCGTGTGGGGGGGGGGAGAAACTCCCGAGCCCAAGCCCCTCCCTCTCCGCCCTGCCTAAAACGGAGGAGGGGCCTTTGTCTCTCTCTTCTGCACGTGCTGCAGCCATGGCGCCTCCGGGGAGCCGGTGAGTCTCTGCATTGGGGGAAGAGGGTGCAGGGGGGACCCCCAAGTCAAGGGGCAGAGGCTCCTGCCCCCCCCCTCCGCAAAGCCAGGGGGGCGAGGGCACAGGATGCACCGCTTGGCCGTTTGGGGAGGGCGAGGTCTTTGGGGAAGGAAGAAAAGGGCCTGGAAACAACCCCCCCCCGACTGAGGAATCAGTCCCATTTATCAGCAGAGGTTGTAGAGGGACGGAAATATTAGGACGTAAAATGCACCGAAGAAATAAAAAGGAAAGCCTGACTGTTGGGAGAGGGGAGGGGGCAGAGAAGAGAAAGCGCTTCTTGGTGCCGTGCAGAGTCAGGCCTGCGGAACTCCCTGCCCCAGGAGGCGAGGCTGGGACCAGGGCAGCGAGGAGGAAGAGGAGGGGCTCCTGGTGGCTTCATCCTCGAGGGCTGAGCTCTCGTCTCCCCAGAGATGCTGCTGAATCCCAGTTGCTGGAAGGAAGCGCAGGGGGAGAGAGGGGGGGCTCTTGCGCCCCAGTCCTGCTGGGGGGCTTCCCATTGAGGCCCCAGGGGGAACAGGAAGGGGGACTCCAGAGGGGCCCAATGGCCTGATCCTGCAGGGCTCCTCTCCCGCTCTGATGCTGAGCTCCTCAGTTGGAGTGAAGCTTCCCCACCACCACCCGAGATATCGGGACTCCAGGCTTCGCATCCTTGGCAGAACTGCCTCCTATGGAGGGAAATCTCTCTTAATTACTCCGCCAACATTTTTAAGAAACCGCACCAGAGTTTCTGAGCTCCTCTTGGCAGCTTCCAAATGCAAGAAATATCAGATTAAAGGCATCTCTGTCATGTGAATGTGGGTTCAGGCTGACACAAGTGGGAATAGTTCCTGTCGTTTCTGTAGCAGGAAACCCCCCCCCCCATCATTCAGTTTGTACAAACTTCACACACACTCACACTCACACACGACATACGCTATGCTTCTGTTATAAATTCATAGAAAACCAACCATACATCGGATTTGCACTGTTCCACTTTTATGTGACTCCATGAAGGAAGGACTACCAAATGGGGGAAGGTTTGACACAGGACGGCCATAATCCCTTCAGCATCCCAGCACATCCACAGGAGCCCTGCCCAGTTGCTATGCCAACCCTGATGGTCCCAGACCATCAAGATCACAAAGAACTTGCATATGGGAGTGGATTCAACACGGAGTGAAACAAAGGACAATGATCAGATCTTCCCTGGGGGGGGGCAGGAAACTGCGACTACCTTTTGTCATCAGAAAAGTACTCATGGGGAGGGGGAAAGGGGGAACCAGCCAGGTGACAGGACACTCAGGTTACCACCACAACTCCTCCCTCGACCCCTCCTTTCTGTGATGTACGGTAGGTATGATGTTTCTGGGGGTGGTCTTGACCTGGAGGAGGGGAATTTCAAAAGTTTTTATAAGGTCTTGCACACCATCTTTCTGGGTCCTTCCTCTCTCCTGCAAGTGAGGGGAGCACCCTGTTGCAAGAGTTCAATAAAGGCCAAGCCTACAGGCTGCTGATTTGCTCCAAGTAATCCTGGTTTGTGTCTTTGTTTTTGCCCAAGGGAGCCCTCGGATTTTTCCGGTAACAAAACCTAAAGAGCTTTAAGGTGTTAAAACAAAGTAGTAAATGCACAGCTTTTCTTTTCAGGTTCCTAGAAGAGGAGGTGAAATGCTTCACTCGGTTTCTCTTTCCTCCCTCTCATTCCTTTACTCAGTTATGAGTTTAATCCTTTGGACGCAGCACAGCTTCCTTCTCTGCCGAAAACTGGGGCTCCCTTTCCGTCAGTTCCCCTCTCTCTTGGCAATCCCACCCCTCAGGGGTTTCCAAATAGCATCGCATATATGGCTCTGCGGGGGTTAAGCTGTGTAACACTACTACTACTACTACTACTACTAATAATAATAATAATAATAATTTATAACCCATGCTTTCCCTTAAGTTCCCCAGGGAAGAGGACACCATTAAAACACAATTTTTAAAACCACTTAAAACAAGTTACAATGACAGAAAGAAACTGAGTTGTTCTTTTCCTGGCTTTTTAGCACTTTCTTACCCACAGGAACTTTGGCCTCACCCACTTGGCCCTCAGGGGCTTGGCCAGATTAGGATCTGGCCCTCAGAAGAAGAAAAAGGGACGTTGGAGATGCAAAGGGGTAGAAAATGAGACAGAAGCAGAAAGGAAATGTGCCCTGAGGTGGGGTTGGGAAGGAGAGCAACTCTTGAGGAGCCCAGGATTAGGACCCTCAATAGAGACTAGTGTCCATATATTATTTATTCCCCAGGCACTCTGGGCGGCTTCCAACAAAATATTACAATACAATAATTCATCAAATATTCCACACTTGGAACAAATGATTCACTTCTCCATTACCTTTCTGGTTTTATCCCTGGGCTGAAAACACTGAGAGGCAGGACCCACCAGGCTGATTCATCTCACAGAAATCTCTTTCGTTGCCTCCACTTTTGGCCTGGTCACTTTCCCCCTAGGAGGGCGAGAGAATTTCTTCTTCATTCTTCCCTTTTTTCTTACAGAAAGCTCAGAGTCTGGCATGTGGTGCAGTCCAGCCCTGGTTCCTAGCAAGACTCATCCACACTTGCTCAGGGGACCTCCTCCTTGTGCTGACCGTGTGCCAATTTCATAAGAGAACAATATATTTCCTTTGCAGTATTTGCCAGCACCTCTAAATCAGACAGGCAGAACTTGGTCAAGGAAAAGATGGATGAACAAGACTCATCTGGCCCTGGAGCAGGAAGAGGCCATGCTATGGATACTGGGAGCAGTGGGAGATTCTGGGAAAGCTCTGGGCAGAAGATCCTGGGAGAGGAGGACACCCTTCGCTCAGAGGTGCAGAGCCGGCAGTTCAGGTGGTTCTGCTACCAGGAGACTGAAGGACCACGAGAGGTTTGCAGCTGGTTCTACCACTTTTGCCACCAGTGGCTGAAGCCAGAAAGGCACACGAAAGCTGAGATGCTGGACCTGGTGATCTTGGAGCAGTTCCTGGCTGTCCTTCCACCAGAGATGGAGAGCTGGGTGAGGGAATGCAGAGCAGAGACCAGTTCCCAGGCAGTGGCCCTGGCCGAAGGTTTCCTCCTGAGTCAGGCGGAGGAGAGGAAGCAGGTGAGAGAGACTTTCCTCTGGATGCTCCCAAGGGGCTCCAAAGGAGGGAGAAGATCCTAATAAAACTCTCCTAATTGCTCATCCTTCTTCCTTTTTTAACCATTCTCCCAATTCTCTGTTTTGAATCCTTGTTTCTCTTTCAGGAAAAGGATCTGTTTGCGGAAATGGGTCCTGATTCCTCTGAGGGAGAGAGGGCTCCGTTGGACACCAGAGAGAGTTCACTAGGTAAGGAGGAAGTAGTTTCTTCTCAGTTGGGTCACATTCTGTGGGTTTCGAAGTGATTCCATGGGTTCTTTTCATCATTTTGGGGGAAGACACTAAGGTCCAGGAGTCCAGAGGAGGGGAGGTGTAATTTTGCACAACTAAACTATGAAATGGGTACAAACACTGAAATGCACTCAGCAAGTGAGGCTTTTTCTCCAAGAGAAGCATGCTCTCATGGTTCCCACTTCCCTTTGTCTCTCACAGGTGACGGAATTATACTGGCAGAACTGGCAAGACCTCCTCCTCCATCTTTTCATCCTGGTGGAGGGGAAGCAGCGGCTGTGGAACCGGATCAGGTGGGGGAAGGAGCCTTTGGGGGAAAGGGGCTGAGGGGTGGGGCAACCAGGGTGTCTCTGGGGGCCAAACAAATCTGTCCTCTTCTTTGCTTCTGTTGTAGCTGCCCTTAAGAAAGAGAATGTTTATCTGCTGAGTATAATGAACAACCAGCTCACCTTAACTCGCCTCTGAATGTCACTAGTATTTATCAGTAGCTGCTATTTTATTTGTCAATTTATTGTGAAATGCTAAAATTTGATTCTATGGAATCAAGAAACAATAAAAAACTGCAGCCAGGATTCACCTAATGAGCCCCATCCACTGCAGAAAGGGGCTTTGTCCTCCCTGTGGCCCCCATGCGCCCCTTGAAGTTGGCATCAGGAGGGCCCCCCCCATCACAGTGAAATAAACAATAAAACAATTCCATTAAGACATTAAAAGGAGCATCTCTACTTAAAATCTGCAGCAAAATATTCCCATGAAATCAACAGAGCAATTAACAGGCAGGAAACAACAGAGCAATGTGTAGTAGATAATCTTTATGCAGTCTAAGAGGAGGAACTTTCCCTTTTGCTTTCAGGGTCCAGTCTGCTTTGAAGATGTCTCTGTTTGTTTCAAAGAGGAGGAGTGGGCGTTGCTGGATCCTGCCCAGAGAGCTCTGCATAAGGAAGTAATGGAGGAGAATCGTGGGACCATAGATTCTCTTGGTATAGCTCATATTATTACAACATCTGTTTCAAAATTCCATGCATATATCTCTGTGTGATGAAGCTCCTAGATTTTGATGGATTTTGACAGCGCCACCTACAGCATCTGGGATTCTCGCACCTACACAATTTACCTGGAATGGAGGCTATTGTCTGTTTTGCCTGTGAATATTCTTCCACCACTTAAGCCTTTTAAAACAAGGATCAGGCTGGTCTGAGCTGCCCAGGCCTTTTAAAATTGTAGGCTTCCTGAATATTTAGGAAAGTGGAAGTAGCTTCTGTCAGGTTTTGTGTTTTTCTTTTTGCTTCTGTCAGTTCTTGGTTTTGCAAAAATTCTTCTGACGCTGAAGATGGAGCAGATTCCATGACTGAGCCAAAGAAAATTCATTGCAGAAAGTAACAGGCTTTTTGAATTTCAGTTTCCCATAAGTACCGTATTTTTCGCACCATAACACTCAGTTCCCCCCCCCAAAAGGTAAAGGGAAATGTGTGTGCGCGTTATGGAGCGAATGCAGGCGGGAAGAGCTGCTCTTGCTGGCTTTTCGTTGAGGTGGGAGAAGGGAGGCAGCCTCTCTTCCTCCGTGCCTGCCTGCTCTGTGGCTTTTTGGCGAGGTGACTTTATAGTCTGATGGGCTGACTGTAATTCAAGCAAAGGGAGAGCCGCTTACACACATGTAAGCGGCTCTTACTCTGCTTTCTTTACAATGAGCCGGAAGGAGGGACAAAGAGGGCATCCCCTTCCGTCCCTCCCCCAGCACCTCACCAGTAAATTTAAACAAAGCGGCTTACAAGGCTCGTGTCCCTGCGTCTCCTCCTCTTTTTGCTCCGGTTCGAGGCAAGGCAGCTGCACAAATGTGAGCTCCCCCCTCTCTCTTCCTTCCCTCCCTCCCTCCCTCTTCCAACTTCAAAAAATATTGAGGGGACAGCCAGGTAAGCCCCACTCACATACCACAATGGGGGGTGGGGGATGACTCCCTCAAATATTTAATGGGGGGGTGAAGGCACCTAGGCCCATAGGAGTTGGCTGCTTTGCCTAGGACAAGTGTGAGCTCTCCATCTCTCTTCCCTCCCTCCCTCCCTCCCTCCCTCCCTCCCTCCCTCTTCCAACTTCAATAAAATATTGGGGGGGGGCAGGTACAAGTAAGCCTCATCTCACAGATCGCAATGGATCTCAAGACAAAGTGCATGCACACTGGTACCTTACTTGAATTGCAATGCCCATCAGCATGGGGGGAGGATGACTCCCTCAAATATTTAATGGGGGGGAAGGCACCTAGGCCTATAGGAGTTGACTGCTTTGCCTAGGACAAATGTGAGCTCCCCCCCCCCTTCCTTCATCACTGTATTGGAGATACCATACATTACTGACAGTTCCTTCATCATTTTCTTGCAGAAAACTGTATTTTCTTGCAGAAAACCTCCCCCGTTCTGATAAGGATGATAAGGCAGAGAAGACTAGCATATAAGATTCCTTTTAAACTAAAGGTAGTAAAATACGCTAAGGAGCATGGAAACAGAGCAGCAGAGAGACATTTTGGGCCACCTCCAACTGAAAAAATGATAAGAAGGTTGGAGGAAACAGGAGGATCAGCTGCAAAAAGCAGATAAAAGCAAGCAGACTTTTCGTGGACATGCTGCAAAGTGGCCACAGTTGGACATTGCCATGAAAGAATGGATCACACATCACCGGAATAATGGCTTCACAGTCTCCACAAAAATGATAATACATGAAGCCAAACGCATTGCTGTAGAGAAAGGCATTCACGATTTTACTGGATCACCATCGTGGTGCTACAGATTTATGAAGCGATGTGGCCTTGCTATGCGCACCAAAACTAGAATTGCATAAAAAATGCCAGAAGAATATGAATCTAAGATTCTGTCTTTTCATAAATTTGTAATTGATGCTAGGAAGAGAAATGGATTTGAAATTGGCCAGATTGGGAATATGGATGAAGTCCCGCTAACCTCTGATGTGCCATCTAATAGGACTGTTGATCTGAAAGGTGCCAAAACTATTGCTGTGAAAACCTCCGGACATGAGAAAACCCATTACACGGTTGTGTTGTCTTGCTGTGCAGACGGCACCAAATTGCCACCCATGTTAATTTTCAAAAGGAAAACATTTCCAAAAGAAGTGATTCCACGAGGAATTGTTGTACATGTTCACGAGAAAGGATGGATGGACGAAAATGGAATGAGAGTATGGGTTGGAAAAGTGTGGTCCAAACGTCCTGGAGGGCTTTTGAAAAAACCTGCCTTATTAGTACTTGACCAGTTTAGAGCACATATTAGCAAAACTACAAAAAAGTGCTTTAAAGAAGCGAAGACTCATCTAGCTGTAATTCCTGGAGGTCTTACCAGCCAGTTGCAACCTCTTGACGTTTCCATCAACAAGCCGTTTAAGGTCTTTATGCGAGAAGAGTGGAACAAATGGATGGCTGCTGGTAATCATGTTCTGAAACCTTACTGGACGAATGAAGATTCCCACTATCACTCAAGTTTGTGAATGGGTGAAAACATCATGGCACTCTGTGAAGGAGGAAATCGTTGCACAGTCATTCAAAAAATGTGGCATTAGCAATGGTATGGATGCAAAAGAAGATGACATTTTATATGAAGATGGCGAAGAAAGTGATGCCAGTGATTGTGAGCAGCTGAGCTTCATAAATTCTGACTCTGGCACTGATGAGTTCTTGGGGTTCACAGAAGACTAGAAGAGTACTCGAACCTAAAATTCTCTCTTCATTTGTTAATGACAGTGATGATGGTTCTTAATGCTACTGTTGACTGCTGTTCACTTTACATGGTTGTAATATGATTCTGATATACCGGTGGTTTATTAAATAGTTTAGTACAACATTAGATTCAGAATATATTTTTTTCTTGCTTTCCTCCTCTAAAAACTATGTGCGTGTTATGGTCAGGTGCGTGTTATAGAGCGAAAAATACGGTGTGTCAGTCAACAAAGGCAGTGAATTCTGCAGTAAGAAATCTAACTTCAGTTCTTCCTTTATCACAGGTGTTCATTAGCGTTATTCAATAATTGGCAACTCCATTTTTTCCTCTTTGCATAATAATTTTTATTCAGTTTAGAAAACTTTAACAAATTAACTTCAAATTCAATATATGCTTCTTTTACCAAAAAACAACAATAGTGAGGGGACATCTTCCCTCATTTCCGTGGTGCTTTCATTCCCATTTTTTCCTGCTGCTGATATATATCAAACTATATCTAATACAGATTCCATCCATTACATTTATTATCATTTCCAATCGGCTGCTCATAATTCCAATCCTGCCCATGATTTCATTTGACTAAAATTCTTTCTCAGATATTCCAAAAAGGGTTTCTACTCTTCAGTAAAAAGTTTGGTCTCTCACTCTTGCTCTCAACTTTGCCAATTTTGCATATTCCAATGTTTTTACAAGCCATTCCTCCTTGTTTCTTCCTTCCAGCTCTGTGCATATAAAGTGTTGCTGCGTACACAAATAGTTTAATCATATTCTTCAGGACATTTGTCCCCAATATCCCTAAAAGAAAAGCTTCAGGTTTTTGAAAATTACCAATTCTAACGTCTTCTTCATTTCATGATATATCATTACAGTGGTACCTCGGGTTAAGAACTTAATTTGTTCCAGAGGTCCGTTCTTAACCTGAAACTGTTCTTAACCTGAGGTACCACTTTAGCTAATGGGGCCTCTGCTGCTGCTGCGTGATTTCTGTTCTCATCCTGAAGCAAAGTTCTTAACCCGAGGTACTATTTCTGGGTTAGCGGAGTCTGTAACCTGAAGCGTCTGTAACCTGAGGCATCACTGTATAATCCTTTGTCCATCTGTTGGAAGGCGGCCTTGGAAGTGGGTTTGAAGAATTCTATCCTTGATTTTTCTTGAGCAGAACTGAACCAAACAAACTCCTGGTAGTTTCTTTGTGCTTGCAAAGGCCGACTTTATACAGAAAACTTAGATTATCTCCTCCGCTTCCATCTCAAGGAATTCCACCAACTGTTTCACCAGTTTCTCTTGGATTTTAATCACCTAGTTCCAGGATCCCACGGAATATCAAAAAGGACTCCATTGCATTTCCAAAACTGCCATTTGATCTGACAGCAGCTCTCCTTGTTGCATTATTTTTGTCACTTCCCCCTGCATGGTCTCTACTTGCTTCTTGGTTTCACGATTCCCACAAGAAAGCTTATTAACAGTCTCTCCCACTGAAGCAGTTCTTTTGGTTAACTCTTGGATGTTACAAGAAAGTTGGGATATTGCATTGGAATTTGCCTCCAGTGCCAACTTGATTGCTATCCATGTTCCATTTAAATCCATTGCTGCCTGGTCAATGTTGCTGTTAGAGATGTTGCCCTCTGTGAGGCTGGCTGGTTCAGGTTTTGTTTTTTGTTTGGTTCTGGTCATCTTAGTACTGTAATTCACTTCTATAATCCATGCTTAAACAACAGTCCTTCTGGGACAAGTTTTGTTCTGCAGATCTCTCTCATTCAGACATAACATTTCAGCCTTCTCTGTCCCACCGTGCAACTCCACTCTGCTGGCAATATTCCAAGCGCTCTCTCTCTTAGCTCTCTCTTTATATGGCAAAGTCAAATTGTACCCAGTCCCCTTTTGGATTCTAGTGCTCTTTATTCCATTAGCCACAAGGATTGGGTAGTATTCTCCCAAGGAATGTATAGCTTTGTATCAACATTCTCCCTTCCCTCTCCTTTCCCTTCTCCTTTGTGGCAGCGATTTATTTTTTTTTACTTCTTTTACTCTTTTCTTCACACACCAGCAGTCAGAATTTTCCCCTGCAGCTGCTGCCCACCCTTTATGGTAAAGTGTCTTTAAATTTAAGTCAAATTAAGTCCAATTTATAAGGAAGTCAGCCACTTACACGATTGCCTCTGAGCCTTCTCAGTAATTGAGTCAGAAATATTTTTGCCAGTGCCTTGCCTCTCAACCAGCCTGGAACAGGGTCCTCCAACTTCCTCCAAGCAGGGAGCAGCAGAGAAATGGGCTTGTCACCCTGCTACACTCAGGGTCTTAAGGAATGTTTGCCTTCGCTACCCCAATTTCTGCATCTGAGACTTCCCCAAGCTCAGAGAAGCTGCTCCTGTGATCATGGCTGACCTGGAAGTACAATTCTTCCTGAGGCTCTAATCCATTTCTCTGTTCATTGCAGGTGGTGATGAATTAGATATTCAGAACAAGGGAGACCAAGAGAAAGTTCACACAGTGGAGAAACCCTATAAATATCTGGAGTCTGGCAAGAGCTTCAGTCAGAGTTCCTATTCCACTTCCCATCAAAGAATTCATACAGGGGAGAGACCACATCAGTGCTTGGAGTGTGGAAAGAGCTTTAGTAAGCAGGTGAGTCTCACCACCCATCTAAAAATTCATACAGGGGAGAAATCATATCAGCGCTTGGACTGTGCAAGGAACTTCAGAAAAAAGCAAAATTTCACTTCCCATCAAAGAACTCATAGTGGGGATAAACCACATCAGTGCTTGGAGTGTGGAAAGAGCTTCAATAGAAAGGACCATCTCACTTCCCATCTAAGAATTCATATGGGCCAGAAACCATATCAGTGCTTGGAATGTGGAAAGAGCTTCAGTTGGAAAAAGAGTCTTACTTCCCATCAAAGAATTCATACAGGCGAGGAACCATATCAATGCTTAGACTGTGGAAGGAACTTCAAAACAAAGCAACATCTCACTTACCATCAAAGAACTCATAGTGGGGAGAAGCCATATCAGTGTGTGGAATGTGGAAAGAGCTTCAGTCAGCACTCCAGTCTCCGTTCTCATGAAAGAATTCATACAGGGGAGAAACCATATCAGTGCCTGGAATGCGGAAAGAGCTTCATTTGGAAAGATAGTCTCACTTCTCATGAAAGAATTCATGCAGGGGAGAAGCCATATCAATGCGTGGAATGTGGAAAGAGCTTCAGTCACAGATCTCATCTCACTTCCCATCAAAGAATTCATACAGGGGAGAAACCACATCAGTGCTTGGAGTGTGGAAAGAGCTTCAGTCACAGATCTCATCTCACCATCCATCAAAGAATTCATACAGGGGAGAAACCACATCAGTGCTTAGAGTGTGGAAAGAGCTTCAGTCAGAAGGTGAGTCTCATCACCCATCTAATTATTCACACAGGGGAGAAGCCATATCAGTGCTCAGACTGTGGAAGGAACTTCAGAACAAAGCAACAGCTCACTTACCATCAAATAACTCATAGTGGGGAGAAGCCATATCAGTGCGCGGAATGTGGAAAGAGCTTCATTCGGAAGTACCGTCTCACTTCCCATCAAAGAATTCATGCAGGGGAGAAACCACATCAGTGCTTGGAATGTGCAAGGAACTTCACCTCAAAGGCAGGTTTCACTTCCCATCAAAGAATTCATACAGGGGAGAAACCATATCAGTGCTTGGACTGTGCAAGGAACTTCACCTCAAAGGCAAGTCTCTCTTACCATCGAATAACTCACAGTGAGGACAAACCATATCAGTGCTCAGACTGTGGAAGGAACTTCAGAACAAAGCAACAGCTCACTTACCATCAAAGAACTCATAGTGGGGAGAAACCCTATCAGTGCGTGGAATGTGGAAAGAGCTTCCCTCGGCGGGATACTCTCACTTCTCATGAAAGAATTCATACAGGGGAGAAGCCACATCAGTGCTTGGAATGTGGAAAAAGCTTCATACAAAAGACCAGTCTCACTTCCCATCGAAGAATTCATACAGGGGAGAAGCCACATCAGTGCTTGGAATGTGGAAAGAGCTTCAGGCAGAGAGTCAGACTTATTTCCCATCAAAGAATTCATACAGGGGAGAAAGCACATTAGTGCTTGGAATGTGGAAAGAGCTTCACCTGTAAGGAAAGTCTCATTTCCCATCAAAGATCACACAGCAGGGAAAATAGCAGAATAATAGAATTGTAGTGTTGGAAGGGGCTGTGTTAGTCATCTAGCACAGGAATCTCAGCTAAAGCATCCATGACATATAACCATCTAATCTCTTATTAAAAACCTCCAAGGAAGGAGATGACACCTCTCATAGGAATCTGTTCCACTGCTGAGCAGCTTATACCACCAGAAGCTTCCTCCTGATATTGAGTCGGAATCTCATTTTTGGTAACTTGAATGCATTGGTTCAGGTCTTACCCTCCAGAACAGGAGAAAACAAGCTTGCTGCATCTTGCCTGGAACAGTCTTCTAGATATCTGAAGACTGCTATTCTGTTTTCTCCCAGTCTCCTCTTTTCCAGGCTAAAAATATCCATTCCCTCAACTGTTCCACTTAAGGCAATGGATCCAAACTACAAGAAAGAAGATTCCACCTAAACATTCAGAAGAACTTCCTGACAGTAAGAGCTGTTTGACAGTGGAATTTGCTGCCAAGGAGTGTGGTGGAGTCTCCTTCTTTGGAGGTCTTTAAGCAGAGGCTTGACAACCATATGTCAGGAGTGCTCTGATGGTGTTTCCTGCTTGGCAGGGGGTTGGACTCAATGGCCCTTGTGGTCTCTTCCAACTCTAGGATTCTAGGCTTTGTTTCCAGGCCCTTGGTCATGCTTCCAGCTTGTCAGTATCCTATTCAAATTGTGACACCCAAAACAAGACACAGCACTCCAGACGTGGTCTGACCAAGGAAGAAGATAACACTACTGTGGCTTCCCTTTATCCGGACACTTGACTTCTGTTGATGCGCCCTTAGATAGCATTTGCTTTCTTTGCTGCTATGTCACACTTTTGACTCATGTTTAGCTTTAGTTCTGCTAACACTCCTGGATCGTTTTCACATGTACTACTGGGAAGCCAGATGTCCCCCATCTTATATATTTGCTGATGATACCTGCCTATATGCAGAACCTGACGTTTGTCCTTACTGAAATTCCTTTATGGCGTTTAAAGCCCACCTTTTTCTCCAGGGAGCTCCCAGTGGTGTCACCTGGCTCTTGCCCTCCTGATTTAACACGGACAATAATCCTGTGAGGTTGGTTAGGCTGTGATGCAGTGCCTGGTCCCCAGGGTCACCCAGCTAAGTAGGGATTTGAATCCAGGTCTCCCAGATCTGAGCCTTTAACCACTATGCCACACTTGTTCTCTAGTGAGACTCTCAGAAACTGCATGTGCATGTGTGTTTCCTTAAAGCTCAGTTGTGATGTTCTGGAGTTTGAATTCAAAGTTTTATACACCTATAGCAAAATAATTAACGTAGCAGAAGTAAGTACAGTATACTAGAAGATTTATGGTAAAGTTGGCTAGGGAGGGGGAGTTTGGAATGCTGGGGGTGAGAGGTGATTGGCTGGGAGTTTGAAAGGGGTTTGAATGACGACAACAGAACAATCATGACTTTGGCTAATTAAACATTCTGTGTCCTTTTAAATGTGCTTGTGGGAAGGGGGGATTTTGTTTTGTTTTTATTCTTGTTTTTATTTTGTTCTTGTTTTTATTCTGTATTTTCTGTTTTTGTTCTGTAGTTTTGTGCTGTGAACTGCCCGATATCTTCAGATGAAGGGTCATATACAAATTTATTAAATAAATACTAAAAAGTAGTCATAAGCAATAAAACATAAAAAAGACCAACCATGCTGAACCATTTCCACATAGATCCCAAGGAGCTAAAAAGCAGAGATTCAAAAAATCTGACAGCTACGAACCCCTATGGCACATTCACCCCTGGGTGGACCACACACATCCCTGGAGATTAAATCTAGCACCCTGGTACTTCTCTTTTCAGTGCGTGGCGGGAAAAGAGGTTTACGTAGTAATGCAACTTACACACTTGGTTGTCCCAAAGCGCAGAGTTCTGGGTCTGCGTCGTCCTTCTGGCTTTTGTGTGCCACGTCTGCAGTCTGGCTTTCTGAGAGATTAGTCTCATAGGCCCTCTTCATCAAATGCGCTTCTGCACACACCTGGCCATCCTTGGTCACTGGCCAGGTTGCAATTCAATCTTCAGTTCAGACAATTAGTACATAGTCTAAGATGTGCCAGTGGTTTGACAGAGGGTGTCTCCAAGATGTTTTGAATTTGTTTTGTCGAAAGAGTGTGTTGGTAATAAAGGTAGTGCACTGCACATATCGTCAAAAGTAAGATTCCGTTCTGGTTGCTGTTGCCAGTTCCACCTTTCCCAATATTCCCAGGCCCCAGATCGAAATCTCGCCCAACTCTTGCATTAAAATCACCCAGGAGAATAATTTGATCCTCCTTGGGCGCCTCTGATAGGCGTCTTTATACTGAGAGTATAAATGTGCTTTAATGTCTTCATCAGCACCCAGTGTTGGTGCATAAGCGCTTAGAATAGTAGCCTGTTGGTTTCTGGTGAGTTTTATTCAAAGTGTGAGACATATATATGACACTCTCCACATGGTTATCTCTTCATTGACTGTTTGGCTTTCAGTTTTGGGTTCCTGAACCTGTACTGTATCTCTTTATGGCTTCTCCATTTGCAATTGGAATATGGCCATCCCCACTGACAGGCTAAGATTGTCCAGGCCGCCAAGTAAATCTTCATCCTAACACATATATGAAGAACATCCATAATCCAGCAACCACTGGTTTGAGTTCTTTCCTTTTGTATCACATCTGTTTACAGCTAGATGCTTCTGTTGCAAAAGAAGATTGTTTTCTTGATCTCTGCTGCTCTGATTTTGATTTGGTTGCTAAAATGAAGGGGATTTTGCCGGTTTGGAGCTTCACAAAATCGGGATATGTGTCCCTCTTTGTTATATCTGAAGCAAATGACTCTTTGGGATGGAGCCTTGGCTCTCTTCTGAGACTGTGACACGTATTTTGAATCACTGGAATTTCCATTCCTGGCTGGAGTGATTGCTCTTTTCTCAGATGGCCAATGACATCAGTGAGCCTGAACCTTGGTTTGCCATCTATGAGAGTGGCAAATCTCCTGATTTTAAATCATTATTATTAAAATCCATCAGTGTGGACCATTTGACTGTCTGAAATACTATCCAGAATAATAGACACTGCTGTTCCCGTCTCCTCCTTAAAGATGCACCTCCTCTGGGTTTTTCTTCCCGGATAGAATTCCTGGTGTTGTGTCTTGAAGTTCTCACCCTGGACACCAGGGGTATCATAATGTGCACATAGTTTTCACTCAGGTCCACCTCAGTTAATTTAGGCAGGAGACCCTGGGTTGTTGTTACAATGTTGACAGCTGGCTGCCTATAAAACTGTTTTCAGTTTAGTCCAGTTCCAGCTTACTTATAAAGAACTACAGTGGGACCTCGGGTGACAGACGCTCCAGGTTACAGACTCCGCTAACCCAGAAATAGTACCTTGGGTTAAGAACTTTGCTTCAGGATGAGAACAGAAATCGCGCAGCAGTAGTGGGAGGCCCCATTAGCTAAAGTGGTGCTTCAGGTTAAGAACGGACCTCCGGAACGAATTAAGTACTTAAGCCGAGGTACCACTGTCCTTGGAGAAATCTCTGTGTCGCCTGCTCTATCCCCCCTCTGGCTTCCATTCCTCTCTTCCACAGAATTCTACTCCTCTGGGTGAGGCAATCTGGGCCTTCGGTCAGCAATGGGCTTCTGGCTCCCCATGGGAAGAAGGTGTTCCTAACCCACCAAATGTCCTCGAAGGCGCCAGCCTGAGGGAGGCAGCGGGAGACAGGCGGGCCTGGCGGGCTCGAGGGGTCCAGGGGGTCACCAAGAGGCGACTCAAGAACAAGAAGCCATAAAAGACAGTCTTCCCCGTCCCAAGGGTTAAAAGCAAGTGACCTGCCTTCCTAGAGCGGACGGAAATCCTGCGGGAGGGGGCAGGTCCTCCAGAGCAAGGAGGGAGAACTGGGGAGCTCGGCATTCCAAGGGTTAAGAGGAACTGAGCCGGGTTCCTAGAGGGGACAGGAAGCAGTGGGCGAGGGGGCGGGACCTCCGGAGCCAGAGGGGCCTCTGGTCGCCTGGGCAGCTTCGGCCTGGGGTGAGTCTCCCCAGTGGGGGGAAGGGGGTGCAGGGGGGGCCCCAAGTCCAGGGGGGAGGAGGGGCTCCTGGTGGCTTCATCCTCGAGGGCTGAGGCTGCTTGGCCTCTTGTCTCCCCAGAGATGCTGCTGAATCCCAGTTGCTGGAAGGGAGCGCAGGGGGAGAGGGGGGGGGCTCTTGCGCCCCAGTCCGGCTGGGGGGGGGGCTTCCCATTCAGGCCCCTGTGAGAATCATAGGAACATGGAATCGTAGAGCTGGAAGGGAGCCCGAGGGTCATCTAGTCCAACCCCCTGCAATGCAGGAATCTCTGCTTCCCTGAAGGTTTCTAAGCAGAGTTTGGATGTCCAGCTCTCAAGGATGTGTGAGTTGAGATTCCTACATTGCGGGGGTCACATGACCCCCATGTCCCTTCCAGCTCTACAGTTCTGGGGTTCAGTGAAAGAAGCTTGTGGGGTGGGGCAGGCATCCGAGAGCTCAGTCAAGAGGGGAAGGGGGCAGGAAATTCCCCAAGAGAGGAACCGCCACCAGGCTGCCCTCTCTTTGGCCACCCAAAGCTCTTGAGTGGGGAAACCACCAAGAGGGCCCCTCTGCCACCTGAGCACCCAAGGGGGGTGTGTAGCGAAGGAGGCCTTTCTTTAGATATTTGGCTCCTGTGAGTCCCTTGAACTGGGCCCAGAAGTGAATGAAATTAATAAAGAGAAGGAGCCCAGCCCATAATCCGAGGGCTGCATTTTGCATCTGAGTTGTCTTCAAGGGCAGCTGCACATGGGGGGCATTGCAATGATCCCATTGGATCCAGAGCATGGAATACCATGGCCTCCTCCTCTCGTCCCAAAGAGACTGGGGCTGGCAAACTAGCCAGAGCTGGAAGGGGCCACCTGGGAACCTCTAAGCAGATGTGGTGGTGGGGGGGGGTTATGCTATGCCACATTATTGTTACTTTAATTATTATAATAATTAATTACCCATCCGTATGATTTTAGGGCAGATTTCAACGTTACGACAGTATAACAAAAACAGTTTAAAACCACTTACTATCACAGAAATAAGCTGAATCCTACTGTACTTTCTTTTAGTGCTGTCCTTTGGCTTTGACCACATGAACTTTGGGCTCACCCACTTGACCCTCAAGGTGTTGCCAGATAAATTACGTTCCTTGTAGGGGGACTAGATGATTTCTTCTTCTTCCTTCTTCCATTTTTTCTTAAAGAAAGCTCAGAGTCTGGGTCCTGGTTCCTTCCAAGACTCATCTACTCTTACTCAGGGAACCACCTTCTTCTCCTTCCCGTCTTATCAGTTTTATAACAGAACAATGTCTTTCTTTGTAGAATTTGCCAGCACCTCTCGTTCGGACGGACAGAACTTGGCAGAGGACCAAGGGGTTCCTTCTGGTCTTTTGGAGATTTCCTGAGAGCGAAGATGGATGAGCAAGACTCAGCTGGCCCTGGAGCCAGGAGAGGTCATGGCACTGACACTGGGAGCAGTGGGGGATTCTGGGAAAGCTCTGTGCAGAAGATCCTGGGTGAGGAACACACCCTTCGCTCAGAGGCGCAGAGCCGGCAGTTCAGCTGGTTCTGCTACCTGCAAGTCAAAGGTCCCCGTGAGGTTTGCAGCCAACTCTACCACTTCTGCCACCAGTGGCTGAAGCCAGAAAGGCACACGAAAGCTGAGATGCTGGACCTGGTGATCTTGGAGCAGTTCCTGGCTGTCCTTCCGCCGGAGATGGAGAGCTGGGTCAGGGAATGCGGAGCAGAGACCAGTTCCCAGGCGGTGGCCCTGGCCGAAGGTTTCCTCCTGAGTAAGGCAGAGGAGAGGAAGCAGGTGGAGAAGCAGGTGAGAGAGACTTTCCTCTGATGCTCCCAAGGGGCTCCAAGGAGGGAGAAGATCCCTAAATCCCATCCTTTTTTTTTGGAGTGACATTTGATAACCCTCAAGTTTTTGTCCCAGCCATTCTTTCTCAAACCCATCTCCACATTCTCTATTACAAATTCTTGTTGCTCTTTCAGGAAAGGGATCTGTCTTCAGAAACGGGTCCTGATTCCTCTGAGGCAGAGAGGACTCCATTGGACACCAGAGAGAGGCCGCTGGGTAAGGAGGAAGGAGTTTTTCCTCCGTGTCGTCACATTCCGGCGATTCTCAAAATAATCTGTGGGTTCTTTCAGTGTTTTGGGGAAGACCCTTGGGGCCAAGAACCCAAAAGAGAGATGTACTTTACCCTAACTAAAATATGAAATGGGGACAAACTCCCAAATGCAACTCTGAGAGAAGCATCCTGCACTCCTGTCTCCCCACTTCCCTTTGTCTCTCGCAGGTGAAAGAAGGATGCCGGCAAGACCTCCTCCTCCATCTCTTCATCCTGGTGGAGGGGAAGCAGCGGCTGAGGAACCGGATCAGGTAGGGGGAAAGAGCCGGGGGGAGGAAGGATGAGGTGTGGGGCAGCCAGGGCGTTTCTGGGGGCAAATGAATCTCTCTCCTGCTCTTTTTTCTTCTGTCAAATCTGGAAAACTGGCGTGCTTGCACAGACAGAATGATTTGAAGAAATAAATATACAGTTCCATCTATTTTCACTAAGATTCATACCCATCATTAAAAATAGTATGAAAAATCCCCAAAACATTAAATTATGCACCCACAGTCAAAATGTGCAGCAAACAAATCTGATTAATGCAATGCAGGCAGAAAAAGCAACGCGCAGTAAATAATCTTTATGTTGTGTAAGAAATGGACCTTTTTTCTTTTAGGGTCCACTTTGTTTTGAAGATGTCGCTGTTTGTTTCACGGCTGAGGAATGGGCATTGCTGGATCCTGCCCAGAGAGCTCTGCATAAGGAAGTCATGGAGGAGACTTGTAGGATCATGAACTCTCCCGGTAAGGTTCCCTGTTTGGTCATAATACTTGTTTAGAAATTCAGTCAATATTTTTAGATCAAAAACCTCCCAGATTTTGATGGATCTCAACTTTGCCACCTAGAGTGTCAGGAGATGTGTGTTCATCTGAATTCATGATATGGTTTGTGTCTGTAGATAGATTGACATAACTCTAATACGACACGAAAGATAGATAGATAATACTTTATTCGGCTATAAGCCCACAAGGTAAAACCAATCAATAAATAAAATAGCATTTTACATTCTAAAATATCAACTAAAATATTTCAACGCATAATCTCCTTCACGTTACATACAATCTCTAGATGTACCATATTGTGGCCTTGAATATAAAAATGGTGGATAGAGTTTACTAGATTTTTAATAGTCATGCAGCATTCCATGAAGTCTTTTATATGAAAGAACTGCATTCAGGAATCTGGCAACCTCTAATGTTCTATAAGAGTCAATGTCTTGGACTAGATAGGCTAGATGTAATTCAGGTGGTTTAGCAACAGTTTCCAAAATGATTGAACTCAGAATCCTTGATCGGGGAACAATATATAAAGGACAATTAAACAAGATATGATAAAGGGATTCTATTGATTTGTTGTCACATGTGCATAAAACAGAGGTTTTACCGTTAGAAAATCTATTGCTCAGCACATTTGAGGGGAACACATTAAATCTGGCTCTAACAAAAGCGAATCTATGCGACGCAACTGATAAGGTAGACAGATATCGAGGTATCTGGGACATAAATGTAATGCCCTGATTTATCGGGGAACATGTACCTCCACCTGTAGTAAGATTTTGTTGCAAATCAACCTCCTCCAATCTTTGTTTGATGACCTTTTTTGCTGTAATTAGATCTAAATTTAGTATATTGGAAGGAGAGATTCCATAAGACAACAGTTTGGAATGGATTTTTGTTCCCCATGGGCTGGTAAATTCATCTCTCCAAAGGCACTGAATAAGATGGTAATTGGGCAATTTATGCCAAAGGGACAGCCAGTAATTAAAGGCATGTCTCCACATCAGGATCTCTAAGGAGGGGGTCTTAATACGACACGAAAGTCGAAGCCTTATTCCCGCATCCTGCAAGGCATTTAGGAACATTCTGAGTTCACACACATCAGGCATTATCAACACATGCAAATATAGGGTTGCACAGTGCAGGATACTCAGCTCCCCAGCGGGATCCACCCACCCCATGGCAAGGGGGTGTAAAGGCAGGTTGGAGACAGAGATGTCTAGGTTCAGATCATTGCTCACGATCGCAAGTCTTTCGCCTTTTTGTTAAACGGAAACAGGATGACCAAAGATGGGCAAGGTGAGAAAGAGGCAGGAAGATCCTGACGGAATTATGCAAATTGTAGGAATCACTGCCCCCTCTCCTATTGTCAGGGGCTGGACTGAGGAGGAATGGTGGGGGCTGCCCCCCTTCTCCTGAACCTTCCCGTGGGCAAGAGGACAGTATAGATTTAGAACCGTGGTTTGCAGACGGTCATAGTTCAGAGGCTGCAGAGGGAAGAAGCGGGGAAATATTGGAAGAGGAACAGCAGGAAGAAGAAACACTAGGGAGGGGCAGCTGAGAGACTCTGTGTCTTTGGAAAGCATTCTTGACCCCCTTGTCCCAGGACCAGGCGAGCATTGAGGGCAGGAGAACAAGCATTGGTTTGCAAGCCTTGAGTATTGTATCGGTCATGTCTTTATCTCTTGTAGTATGTCTTTATTTCCCACTTTTGTAAAGAGATCTTTCTCTTTCTTTCTTAGCTTGTTAGATGTATCCACTTTCTTCCCTTCCCTTACTTTCCTCTGATACACACTTTGCTGAATAAAATAGCCTCTTAAACCTATAAAAAGTGGAGGGTGGCGGGTTGGCTCTATATTGCCAGCATAGTCCAGTCAAACACTATAGCTTCCCCGCTTTCCCCTTCCTTTCTTCCTTTCAAATCACACACAATCTCTGTTGCTGTTTGTTAATCTTAATGTTACTCCAACTTATTGCATCCCCACTTGTATATATTTCTTAAACCTGCATTCTGAGAGGGTTGCCATATCATAAAAGTAAAGCGAAAAACTCAAAATAAACAACCATAGGATTCTCTCCCCCAACCATCTCTCGCACACAATGATATCTTATCTCAGTTCAAACCTTAAATCCATGCAGCTGAATGTACCACAGATTGTAGTTGCATCTCCTCCAGTCCATGCCTTTACTTTAATTGCCAATTAACATCCAATTCGTAGGATGACCTCTGCTTCCAGAAACAGGGTGTTGGGGGGGGATTGCAGCAGACAAAGTGCTCCTTCCCCCCAGTGCCTGCCTTCCATGGGGAAGCGAATGCCAGGCCACAGGTCCCGTTCCTCCCCTGCCCTGAGAGGAATCCAGAGAATGCTTTAACCCCCCCCCACCATCCTCTTTATCTGCCTTTCCCTGTGATGTCGAAGGAGTCATCCATTCCTGGCGCAGACCGGAAACAGAAGCCCAATGCAGTTAAAGATGTTTACTGGGATGGATGTACCGTCTCCCATCTTGAATCTGTCACCTTCTTGACATCAGACATCACTTATCTGGGATGTGGCAGAATGGGAGGTAACAATACTGGGAGATTTCCCAGTATTGAAGGGGCTCTCCCATGGAAGTTGGAGCAACCTTGTTTTCTGCTGCTGCTGCTCTGGAGGACCCAAGCCCAGTGGCTTCATGTTACAAGAAAGGAGATTCTGACTCAATCCTTGGACTTCTTTGGAAGATGCAGGACTCTCCTTCATTGGAGGACTTCAAGCAGAGCTTGGGTGACTCTTCTGCCTCTGCAGAAGGAATCAATGGAGTTTTGCAAGCAGAGGTTGGGTGTGTAAGTTGAGATTCCTCCATTTCAGGGGATAGGACTAGATCACCCCGGGGGTTCGCTTGCAACTCTCTCCTTCTCAGAAAGGGTTTCCTGCTTCCAGAGCCTTTTTCACACAAAGCTGTTCCTCCTTCTTCTGTATCTAAGGGAAGAAGCAGCTCAGCATGTCAGCCAAAAGGTTTTCCCAAAGAAAGCACCTCTGGGGGTGCCTGACACACGCAGCTGGTCCTGGGCTCCTGCTCTAGAGAAAGAAAACTCAGAGAGGGAGGGAAGGGTGCGCTGCTTACGCTCGTCATCTAAATCCTTTCAGTTCTTCCTCGATCACAAGCGCTAATGAGCATTGTTCAATAATTGGGGGCTTCATATCATCCTGACGCTCTAATTCATCTCTCTCTTCATTTTAGGTGCTGAGGAATTAGAAATGAAGAGCAAGGGAAACCATAAGAAAATCCACACAGTGCAGAAGCCACGTCAGTCTTTGGAATGTGGAGATAACTTCACTAACAGCTCTGATTCAATGTCTCATCAAAATCCCATTTGGAATAAACCGAATCAGTGCTCAGACTGTGGAAGGAACTTCAGAACAAAGCAACATCTCACTGACCATCAAAGAACTCATAGTGGGGAGAAACCCTATCAGTGCTTGGAATGTGGAAAGAGCTTCAATAATAGCCGCTCCCTTGGGTCCCATCAAGGTATTCATACAGGTGAGAAACCCTATCAGTGCTTGGAATGTGGAAAGAGCTTCAATAATAGCCGCTCCCTTGGGTCCCATCAAAGAATTCATATAGGGGAGAAACCCTATCAGTGCTTGGAATGTGGAAAGAGCTTCAGTGAAAGCATCAAACTCACTGCCCATCAAATAACTCATAGAGGGGAGAAACCATTTCAGTGCTTGGAATGTGGAAAGAGCTTTAGTCGACGCGACTCTTTCACTTTCCATCAAAGAACTCATACAGGGGAGAAACCCTATCAGTGCTTGGAATGTGGAAAGAGCTTCATTCACAGAGTCAGTCTCACCTCCCATCAAAGAATCCATACAGGGGAGAAACCATATCAGTGCTTGGAATGTGGAAAGAGCTTCAGTACAAAGGCCTATCTCACTTCCCATCAAAGAATCCATACAGGGGAGAAACCGTATCAGTGTCTGGAATGTGGAAAGAGCTTCAGTACAAAGGCCTATCTCACTTCCCATCAAAGAATCCATACAGGGGAGAAACCATATCCGTGTCTGGAATGTGGAAAGAGCTTCAATCACCGCTCCACTCTCAGTTCTCATGAAAGAATTCATACAGGGGAGAAACCCTATCAGTGCTTAGAATGTGGAAAGAGCTTCAGGAGAAAGGACAATCTCACTTCCCACGAAATAATTCATGCAGCGAAGAAACTGTATCAGTCCTTAGAATGCACATTGGGCCTTCCTGCAAGAAGAGCGCTTCTGTGACATCAGAGAATTCACAGTGGGGGAAAACCATTTCAATGCCAAGTGCGGAAAGAGCTTCACCCTGAAGCAAACACTCACTTCCCATCAGAGAATTCATGTGACGGAGAAACCCTAATAGTGCTTGAAATGTGGGAAAAGCTTCACCTGGAATGAAAGTTTCTCTTCCCATCAAATAACTTATAAGATTGTAGTGTTTGAAGGGACGCTGAGGGTCATCTAGTCCAACCCCCTGGCATTGTTGTGATGTAGTGCCTGGTCCTCAAGGTCAGCCAGTGATATTCATGGCTGAGAGGGATTTTAGTAGTAGTAGTATTAGTAGTAGTAATTGTTGTGTTGTAGTTGTTATATTTATACCCCACCCATCTGGCTGGGTTTCCTGAGCCACTATGGGCGGCTTCCAACAAATATATATATAAATAATAATAAATCAAACATGAAAAACCTCCCTAAACAGGGCTGCCTTCAGTTTTCTTCTAAAAGTTGTGTAGTTCTTCATCTCCTTGACATCTAATGGGAGGGGTGTTCCACAGGGCGGGCACCACTACCGAGAAGGCCCTCTGCCTGGTTCTCTGTAACTTCGCTTCTCGCAGTGAGGGAACTTCTAGAAAGCCCTCAGAGCCAGACCTCAGTGTCCAGACTGAATGATGGGGGTGGAGATGCTCCATCAGGTCTACTTGGCCGAGGCCGTTTAGGGCTTTGAAGGTCAGCACCAACACTTTGAATTGTGCTCGGAAATGTACTAGGAGCCAATGTAGGTCATTCAGGTCTGGTGTTATATGGTCTCGGCAGTTGCTCCCAGTCACCCGTCTAGCTGCCGCATTCTGGATTAGTTGTAGTTTCCGAGTCACCTTCAAAGGTAGCCCCACGTAGAGTACACGCATTGCAGTAGTCCAAGCGGGAGATAACCAGAGCATGCACCACTCTGGCGAGACAGTCCGTGGGCAGGGAGGGTCTCAGCCTGTGTACTAGCTAGAGCTGCCCTGAACACAGACTTGACCTGCACCTCCATGGACAGCTGCGAGTCCAAAATGACTCCCAGGATGTGCACCTGGTCCTTCAGGGGCACAGTTACCCCATTCAGGACCAGGGAATCCTCCACACCAGCCCGCCCCCTGTCTCCCAAAAACAGTACTTCTGTCTTGTCAGGGTTCAACCTCAATCTGTTAGCCGTCACCTGTCCTCCAACCGCCTCCAGACACTCACACAGGACCTTCACCGCCTTCACTGGTTCTGATTTAAAAGAGAGGTAGAGCTGGGTATCATCCGCATACTGATGAACACCCAGCCCAAACCCCTGGATGATGTCTCCCAGTGGCTTCATGTAGATATTACAAAGCATGCGGGGAGGACAGAGCCCTGGGGTACCCCACAAGTGAGAGCCCAGGGGTCTGAACACATCCCCCAACACCACTTTCCTGACAGGGCCCAGGAGGAAGGAGCCGAACTCCTGTTGGGATTTTTGATGCTCTGGGGTTGACCCCTCAGTCTCCCTGACCTTTCCGGGCAGCCTCCCAGTAAGCACAACTTTGGAATGGTGCGTCCCCTCATTCCAGTGTGCCCTTCAGCAACATAAACCAGCTTGATTTATGCACACTAATCTTCTGTCATTGCACAGCAAGAAGAATGAACCATCGGTAGATCTAAACTACGTATTTATTTACACTGTATTACACTGGACTTCTGTGGACGCTGCCTAGAGTAGCATTCGCTTTTTCCCCAGCTGCATCACACTGTGAACTCAGGTGGAGCTGGTGGTCCACCAAGACCCCTAGATCTTTTTCACATGCACTGCTATGTCCCCCATCCTATAGTTCTGCATCTGGTTCTTCCTGCCTAAGTGCAGAATCTGACCTTTGTCCCTATGGAAATTCATTTTGTCAGCTTGCCCCCAGTTCTCCAATCTGTAAATGGTAATCTTGAATCCCGATTCTGTACTTTGTGCCTTCCCTCTCAGTTTGGTGTTATCTGCAAACTGGATGAGCATCCCCTCAATTCCTCCATCAAAGATTGACAGATGGAGCAAAACAGGCCCCGGACAGAGCCCTGCAGCCCCCCTGGTCACCAATCTATGGCGTAACCTCCTGGGGGGCACAGTCGCCTCTCCTCATGAAGGATGTTTGGGGAGTTGGAAAAGAGCTGCCAAAATGATCAAGGCAGACTTGGCTATGAAGAAAGGTTGCAGTCTTTGGGGCTCTTTAGTTTAGACTTTAGGGCAGTGCTTCCCAATTAGCTAATTACTGAGCCCCCCCCCCGCTAATTTTCAAAAGCCAAGCCTGGCCTAGAGAAAGTGGAGGGAGAGTTGCATCTCCTGACAGTGGAACTCAAAGACATCCAAGGAGTCGGGATGCTGGAAGATTCAGGACAGATGAAATTACACGCAAGGCAGAGTTCGCCTGTGGAACTCCCCGGCACAGGACACCAGAGAGAGGGGGAAAGAGGGAGGCGCTGGCCTGCCAAGGGTTAAAAGAGATAGAGCTGGATTCCTAGACGGGAGAGGAAGTCAAGCGAGGGGGGAGGACCGGGAACTCCCCCAGAGGAGGAGGGGCCTTTGTCTCTCTCTTCTGCACGTGCTGAACAGAACAATATATTTCCTTTGTAGAGTTTGCCAGCACCTCTAATTGAGACGGGCAGAACTTGGTCAAAGAAAAAATGGATTCCTTCCTAAAGATGGATGAGGAAGACTCAGCTGGCCCTGGAGCAGGAAGAGGCCATGCTATGGAAACTGGGAGCAGTGGGGGATTCTGGGAAAGCTCTGGGCAGAAGATCCTGGGAGAGGAGGACCCCCTTCGCTCAGAGGCGCAGAGCCGGCAGTTCAGGTGGTTCTTCTCCCAGGAGGCCAAAGGACCCCGTGAGGTTTGCAGCCGACTCCACCACCTTTGCCACCAGTGGCTGAAGCCAGAAAGGCACATGAAAGCTGAGATGCTGGACCTGGTGATCTTGGAGCAGTTCCTGGCTGTCCTTCCAGCGGAGATGGAGAGCTGGGTGAGGGAATGCGGAGCAGAGACCAGTTCCCAGGCAGTGGCCCTGGCCGAAGGTTTCCTCCTGAGTCAGGCAGAGGAGAGGAAGCAGGTGAGAGAGACTTTCCTCTGGATGCTCCCAAGGGGCTCCAAGGAGGAGGAAGATCCCTAAGTCCCATCCTTTTTTTAGAATGAGATTGGATACCCCTCAGGTTTTTGTCCCAGCCATTCCTTCTCAAACCCATCTCCACATTCTCTATTACAAATTCTTGTTGCTCTTTCAGGAAAGGGATCTGTCTTCAGAAACGGGTCCTGATTCCTCTGAGGCAGAGAGGACTTCGTTGGACACCAGAGAGAGGCTGCTGGGTAAGGAGGAAGGAGTTTTCCCTCTGTGTGGTCACATTCTGGAGATTCTCAAACTACTCTGTGGGTTCTTTCAGTGTTTTGGGGAAGCCACTTGGGGCCCAGAGCCCAAGGAGAGAAGATGTATTTAAACAAAACTAAAATATGAAATGGGTACAAAGGCCAGAAAGTACCTCTGAGAGAAGCATCCTGCACTCCTGTCTCCCCACTTCCCTTTGTCTCTCGCAGGTGAAAGAAGGATGCCGGCAAGACCTCCTCCTCCATCTCTTCATCCTGGTGGAGGGGAAGCAGCAGCTGAGGAACCGGATCAGGTGCGGGGAAGGAGCAATGGGGGGAAAGGGGCTGGAGTGTGGGGTAGCCAGGGCGTTTCTGGGGACAAATGAATCCCCTCTTGCTCTCTGTCAAAGCTGCCCTTAACAAAGGCTGAAAATGCCATTAATGAAGGGTTATGTGCAGAGGATAACGAGTAGCCCCTTCACCTTAACTCTGAATGTCGCTAGTATTATTTCTTACAAATTGTCTTTGGGACATCTATAGAGTCTTTCCATCCCAGAACAACACACAGGGAGAGGAGAGGGGGATTCTTCCATTTGGCAAACTGGGACGCTTGCACAGACATATTGATCTGAATAAAACAAGGTGGAGTTCCACCCATTTTCACTAAGATTCATACCCATCATTAAAATACGCTATGAAAGAACTCCATTAAAGCATTGAAATAAGCATCAATAATCCAAATGTGCAGCACACCAATCTGATTAGAAGAATACAGGCAGGAAGCAAAAAAGCAACGTGCAGGAAATAATCTTTATGCTGCCTAAGAGAAGGATCTTTTTCTTTCAGAGCTCAGTTTATTTTGAAGATGTCTCTGTTTGTTTCACGGCTGAGGAGTGGGCGTTGCTGGATCCTGCCCAGAGAGCTCTGCATAAGGAAGTCATGGAGGAGACTTGGAGGACCATGATCTCTCTGGGTAAAGTTCCCTCTTGGGTCATCATCTCTGTTTTGGAATTCAATAGATATTTCTCTGGGACAAACCTCCCATATTTGGATGGATCCCAACATTGCCACCTAGAGCAGCTGGGATTCTCACACCCCCACAGCTCACCTGGCATGGACAACAAGGGACTGTTTTTTCTGTGAATATTGTTCCTCTGCTTCTGTCTTTTTGCACAAGGATCAGGATGGGGATAGGCTTTCTGAGTGTTGCTTCTGTCAGGTTTTTGTTTCTGTCCATTTTTGGTTGAGCAAAGGGACTTTTTATTTTAAGAAACTGATTTTTATTGAAAGTTTTCCAATTAAAATAGAATAGAAATTAGAGTATGTTAAGCCGAAGCTCTTTGTAGCCTTATTCCAGACACAGAAGAGCGAACCCTCCCAGCTCTCACCTGGGAGCCTCGTCCCCTTTCCTCAGCCCTTCATCTGCTCTCCATCACCTTCCTGTGTGTATCCTCCCTTATCCAAGATATGAAAATTCAAAAAAGACTTCCCATCTTCAGATCTTCCTTGATCACAAGTGTTCATGAGCATTATTCAAAAACTGAGAACTCCATTTCTTTCTTAGGCTCTGATCTGTTCCTCTCTTTGTTGCAGGTGGTGATGAATTAGAAATTAAGAACAAGGGACAACAGGACAAAATCCACACAGTGGAGAAGCCACATCCAGATTTGGAACATGGAGAGAACTTCAGTCAGGGCTCCCATTCCACTTCCCATCAAATAAATCCTATTGGGAAGAAACCATATCAGTGCCTGGAATGTAGAAAGAGCTTCAGTCGGAAGGATAGTCTTAATTCCCATCAAAGAATTCATTCAGGGGAGAATGAATATCAGTGTTTAGAATGTGATAAGTTTTTTACTACAAGAAGGGACTTCCAACGACATAAGAGAATTCACAGTGGGGAGAAACCATATCAGTGCTTGGAATGTGGGAAGAGCTTCAATCACAGCTCACATCTCAAAACCCATCAAAGAATTCATACGGGAGAGAAGCCCTATCACTGCCTGGAGTGTGGAAAGAGCTTCAGTCAGCGCTCCGGTCTCACTTCTCATCGAAGAATTCATACAGGGGAGAAACCATATCAGTGCTTAGAGTGTGGAAAGAGTTTCACTTGGAATAATAGTCTTACTTACCATCAAAGAATTCATATCGGTGGAAAACCATTTCAGTCCCTGGAATGTGAGAAGTTCTTTACTACAAGAAGAGACTTCCATCAACATAAGAGAATTCACAGTGGGGGAAAACCCCATCAGTGCTTAGAGTGTGGGAAGAGCTTCAGTCGGAAGGATAGTCTCACTTTCCATCAAAGAATTCATACAAGGGAGAAACTATATCAGTGCTTAGAATGTGATAAGTTTTTTACTATAAGAAGAGACTTCCATCGACATAAAAGAATTCACAGTGGGGAGAAACCATATCAGTGCTTGGAATGTGGGAAGAGCTTCAATCACAGCTCACATCTCAAAAGCCACCAAAGAATTCATACGGGGGAGAAACCATTTAATTGCTTGGAGTGTCGAAAGAGCTTCAGTCGGAAGGCTAGTCTCACTTCCCACCAAAGAATTCATACGACGGAGAAACTCGAATAGTGCTTAAAATATGGAAAGAGCTTCAGCTGGAAGAAAATCTCACTTCCCATGAAAGAACTCACAGCAGGGGAAAGCCTGGAGTTATAGAATACAGTGGTACCTCGGGTTACAGAAGCTTCAGGAGGATGAGAACAGAAATCGGGCTCCGGCGGCAGCAGAAGGCCTATTAGCTAAAGTGGTAACTCAGGTTAATAACAGTTTCAGGTTAAGAACAGACCTCCAGAACAAATTAAGTTCTTAACCCGAGGTACCACTGTAGTAGCTTTGGGAGGAATCTTGAGGGTCATCTAGTCTAACCAACTGCAATGTATCTTCTTGATGTTTAGTCAGAATCTCCTTTCTTGTTCTGTTCTTGTGGGGTCACATGGTTCTTCACCTCCTTTTCAATCATGAGAATAACTGTGAGGTAGGTTAGGCTCCCCAAGGCTGTCCAGTGAGCTTCATGGCCAAAGAGGGATTTGAACCCAGGTCTCCCAGGGTCTTGTCGAATACTCAAGGGAATATACTACACTGGCTCTCCCATGAGACTCTTAGAAATTGTTCATGCATTTGTGTCTGCTTAAAAGTTGGGTGCCATATTCTGGTGTTTGTATTTAAAGCTTGTATACTTCTCTAGCAAAGTAATTACAGTGGTGCCCCGCAAGACGAATGCCTCGCAAGACGGAAAACCCGCTAGACGAAAGGGTTTTCCGTTTTTGAGTTGCTTCGCAAGACGATTTTCCCTATGGGCTTGCTTCGCAAGACGAAAACGTCTTGCAAGTCTTGCGGGTTTTTTTCGCTCCCCCCCTTTTTCTAAGCCGCTAATAGCCTTTTAGCAGCTAAGCCGCTAAGCCTTTAATAGCCGCTAAGCCGCTAATAGCGCTAAGCCGCTAATAGGGTTGCTTCGCAAGACGAAAAAACCGCTAGACGAAGAGAATCGCGGAACGGATTCTTTTCGTCTTGCGAGGCACCACTGTAATGCCATAATATTAAGTCAAGTTCAATATTATAATAGATTTAAGGCAATGTTAGCTGGGGGAGGGGGAAGTTTTCAATTCTGGGGGTGAGTGGGGATTGGCTGTGATTTTGGAAGGGTGAAGTACAACATAACCGTCAAGCCTTTGGCTAATGAAACTTTATCCTTTCTCTTTGTGGGAGACAGAAATATTGGTGTGTTTCATTTTTGTTTTTATTATGTAATTGGTGTTTTTATTTTGAATGTTAATGCTGGGTACTGCCCTGATATCTTCCAATGAAGGCAGTATATGAATTTTAATAAATGAAAAATAAGGTCATAAACCATAAAGGAAAATGTAAAAATTCTCTGGGGAGGCAGCTGGAATGAAGGGGCTGTTTGGTGAAAGACCCAGTCAAGACCCAGCTCACAGCTCTGCCCCTTGAGCGCTCTGGGAAGGGCCCCCATAGCTGAGGGCCTGGGGGCACCTGCTTGGCATGCAGAAGGGCCTGGTCCCGGTCCGCCTTGGCAGCATCTCTGAGAAGGAATGAGAGCATCCCCTGCGGAAAGAGACCTCCTGCCCCAAGGAGGCTGGGCTGCAGCTCCCATCATCCCTCGCCATGGACCAAGTGGGCTGGGGCTGATGCGAGTTGTAGTCCAGCCACACCTGGAGGTTTGCCAAGGGCGGTGCAGAGAGCGTGGAGCTGCTTGGGTTAGAAGGGCTGGAGCAGGACACCTGCTTGGCATGCAGAAGGGCCCAGGCTCCCTACTCCCAGCAGCATCTCTATCCGCCAGGGACCCTGGCCGGGAAAGGCAGGCAGGAGCCTGGTCCTCCCTGTCGCAAGGGTTAAAAGCAGCCGATCCTCCTTCCTAGAGGGGAGGGGCAATCTTGGCGTGGGGGGCGCGGGTCCCTCTAGGAAATCTCTCGGGATCCGCCTGGCCTGCTTTGGAGGGAGAGATGGGGCGCCCGGCATTCCAAGCGTTAAAGAGGAGCCGAGCTGGGTTCCTAGAGTGGACAGGAAAATAGTGGAAGGGGCAGGTCCTTCGGCGCCCAAGCCCCGCCCTCCCCCGGAAGTGGGGCTCTGGTCGCTCTAGCCAAGGCTGCCTCGCCGGGTGAGTCTCCTCTCTCCCGTAAAGAGGGCGCCCCCCAGGCAAGGCCCGCCCCCCCGCCCGGCTCTGGAAGCCCCTTCCTTCCTTCCTCTCCTCTCCTCTCTCAGCATCCCTGATGCAGGTGGTTGGAGGGAAAGTCTCTCGCCCCCCCCCATGAACTCCCGCGGGGGGGATAGATAAAGGTTTGCTGAGGGTCCAGAGGCGAGGAATTGGGGGACAAGGAGGGGGCAGGCTGCCCCCCTCTGGAAACACGAAGGCCTCGGAGCAGCTCCTTGTTCTTGGTCCGGGGGGAGGCGGAAGGGGACACCTTTCTCCCCCCCCCCTTTCCTTGGGCAAAGACAGGAGCCCCAGGAGAGGCAGGAGAGGGGAAGCAACCCCCCCCCCAACCGAGACCCCGGGAAACTCTTATTCTTAGGGAGGGGGCAAAGGAGGAGCTGGGGGAAGCAGGATCGCTCCCCAAAGAGGAGAGCAAACTTGGGTCACTGGGGAGGGGAGCTTTCTCCCCCCCCCCGCCCTGTACCAAGTTATTCTGACTCTTTGCCACCCTATTTGCATAACTTAATAATTCCAAAATGGAGACACGCTTTTACTCTCGCCAGGTCGAATATACTGCCTTTGGCTGTCTTCCAGGGGCGACTCTCGAAAATCCCACTGGAAACACAGTTATGTCCCTGTGGAGATGGCAGTATGGAATCAGTGGCTCATGTCTCTCTTGACAAGGTTTGAGGAGGGAGGTTGTTACCCCTCTATTCTTGTCTATTCCAGGTCGCCCAGCCATCGTTGCAGTCTCCATTCTCTTGGCAGATCAAGATGTGCAAGGGTTTTAACCGGGTCAATTAGAATAAGAACCATCATTGGACTATTGATCCTCACCCCAAAAATGTATTTTATGTAATCAACTTTTTACCTTTATCCTCTGTAAGCTACATTTTATGTTATTGCTATGGCTGGTGGCTGATGCACATAAATATTTATTCATTCCTTCAACACCCACCTTGCCCCACTCTCTTGTGGCCCCACTTCTCAACCCCTTCCTTGCCACCCTGTACCTCACTGACTGCCCAAGCGCAGCCCTCGGGGACAGATCATGGACATACAGCCCCCCCCCCCGCCTGCGCCCCTGGTGGAGGCCTTCCCTGAAGCTATGACCCTGGTGTGTGTGCTCAGCTCATGCATGGAGGGACCCCCAAGTCCAGGGAGACAGAGGCTCCTGCCCCCTTACTCTCTACAAAGCATGGAAGAGGGGGACAAGGGCACAGGATCTCTGCGACTCTTTCCTTCCTTTGCACCCATAGCTTTGGGGAGGGAAGGAAAGGGCCTGAAAATAAACCCCCTCCATACCAAGGAATCCGGGCCATCTACGTTGTAGTCGGACAGAAAGATTTGTACGTGAAATACAATAAAGAGAAAAAGGAAAGCGAGACCCATGCAATCAATTGAGACTGTTGGAAGAGGGGCAGAGAAGAGAAAGCGCTTCTTGGTGCCGTGCAGAGTCAGGCCTGCGGAACTCCCTGCCCCAGGAGGCGAGGCTGGGACCAGGGCAGGGAGGAGGAGGGGCTCTGCTTGGCTTCATCCTCGAGGGCTGAGCTCTTGTCTCCCCAGAGATGCTGCTGCATCCCAGTTGCTGGAAGGAAGCGCAGGGGGAGAGAGGGGGGCTCTTGCGCCCCAGTCCGGCTGGGGGGGGCTTCCCATTGAGGCCCCTGGGGGGCCCCTGTAAGAATCATAGGAACATGGAATCGTAGAGCTGGAAGGGAGCCCAAGGGTCATCTTGTCCAACCCCCTGCAAAGCAGGAATCTCTGCTTCCCTGAAGGTTTCTAAGCAGAGTTTGGATGTCCAGCTCTCAAGGATGTGTGAGTTGAGATTCCTACATTGCGGGGAGTTGGGTCACATGACCCCCAGTGTCCCTTCCAGCTCTACAGTTCTGGGGTTCAGTGAAAGAAGCTTGTGGTGTGGGGCAGGCATCCGAGAGCTCAGTCAAGAGGGGAAGGGGGCAGGAAATTCCCCAAGAGAGGAACCGCCACTAGGCTGCCCTCTCTTTGGCCACCCAAAGCTCTTGAGTGGGGAAACCACCAAGAGGGCCCCTCTGCCCCCCTGAGCCCCCAAGGGGGTGTGTAGCGAAGGAGGCCTTTCTTCAGATACTTGGGGGCCAAAAAGAACAGCTCCTGTGAGTCCCTTGAACTGGACCCAGAAGTGAATGTCACATAGTGACACATGAAGTGGATGTCACATAGAGGAGGGAGAAAGGTTGTTTTCTGCTGCTCCAGAGAAGCGGACACGGAGCAATGGATCCAAACGACAAGAAAGAAGATTCCACCTCAACATTAGGAAGAACTTCCTGACAGTAAGAGCTGTTCGACAGTGGAATTTGCTGCCAAGGAGTGTGGTGGAGTCTCCTTCTTTGGAGGTCTTTAAGCAGAGGCTTGACAACCATATGTCAGGAGTGCTCTGATGGGGTTTCCTGCTTGGCAGGGGGTTGGACTCGATGGCCCTTGTGGTCTCTTCCAACTCTATGATTCTATGATTCTATGAATGAAATTAATAAAGAGAAGGAGCCCAGCCCAGAATCTGATGACTGCATTTTGCATCCGTTTCTGAGTTGTCTTCAAGGGCAGCTGCACATGGGGGGCATTGCAATGATCCCATTGGATCCAGAGCATGGAATACCATGGCCTCCTCCTCTCGTCCCAAAGAGACTGGGGCTGGCAAACTTTCCAGAGCTGGAAGGGGGCAATGGCAGTCACTGAGGCCACCTGGGAACCTCTAAGCAGATGTGGTGGTGGTGGTGGGGTTATGCTATGCAACATTATTGTTACTTTAATTATTATAATTATTAATTAGTCATCCTATTATTTAAATGCACTTCACCTCATGATTCCAGGGCAGATTTCAACATTAAAACACTAAGAAAAATAGTTTAAAACTAGGACTAGTAGATTTCCCCTTCTTCCTTTTTTTCTTAAAGAAAGCTCAGAGCCTGGGCTGGGGTGCAGTCCAGTCCTGGTTCCTTCCAAGACTCATCTACTCTTACTCAGGGAACCACCTTCTTCCTGTGTATCAGTTTTATAACAGAACAATGCCTTTGTTTGTAGAAGTTGCCAGCACCTCTCGTTCGGACGGACAGAACTTGGAAGAGGACCAAGGGGTTCCTTCTGATCTTTTGGGGACTTCCTGAGAGTGAAGATGGATGAGCAAGACTCAGCTGGCCCTGGAGTAGGAAGAGACCATGCTATGGAAACTGGGAGCAGTGGGGGATTCTGGGAAAGCTCTGGGCAGAAGATCCTGGGAGAGGACGACACCCTTCGCTCAGAGGTGCAGAGCCAGCAGTTCAGGCAGTTCTGCTCCCAGGAGGCCAAAGGACCCCGTGAGGTTTGCAGCCGACTCCACCACCTTTGCCACCAGTGGCTGAAGCCAGAAAGGCACACGAAAGCTGAGATGCTGGACCTGGTGATCTTGGAGCAGTTCCTGGCTGTCCTTCCAGCGGAGATGGAGAGCTGGGTGAGGGAATGCGGAGCAGAGACCAGTTCCCAGGCAGTGGCCCTGGCCGAAGGTTTCCTCCTGAGTCAGGCGGAGGAGAGGAAGCAGGCGGAGAAGCAGGTGAGAGAGACTCTCCTCTGGATGCTCCCAAGGGACTCCAAACAGGAGGGAGAAGATCCCTAAATCCCATCCTTTTTGGAAAGTATCCAAGGTGCTATATTGGACATCCCTAAATATTTTGCTCCTGCCATTCCTTTTTTAATAGTTCTCATTCGTTGTTTGAATCCTTATTTCTTTTTCAGGAAAATGATCTGTCTGCAGAAATGGTTCCTGATTCCTCTGAGGCAAAGAGGACTTCGTTGGACACCAGGGAGAGGCCGTTGGGTAAGGAGGAAGGAGTTTTTCCTCTGTGTGGTCACATTTTGGTGATTCTCAAACTAATCTGCTGGTTCATTCAATATTTTGGGGATTACACTTGGGGACAAGAGGCCAAAGGAGATCAGATATATTTCAGCATAACTAAAATATGAAATGGGGACAAACTCCCAAATGCACCTCTGAGAGAAGCATCATGGACTCCTGTCTCCCCACTTCCCTTTGTCTCTCGCAGGTGAAAGAAGGATGCCGGCAAGACCTCCTCCTCCATCTCTTCATCCTGGTGGAGGGGAAGCAGCGGCTGAGGAACCGGATCAGGTAGGGGGAAGGAGCCTGGGGGGAAAGGGGCTGAGGGGGGAGAGACAGGGTATTTCTGGGGGCAAATGAATCTCTCTCCTGCTCTTTTTTCTTCTGTCAAATCTGGAAAACTAGTGTGCTTGCAGAGACAGAATGATTTGAAGAAATAAACATACAGTTCCATCCATTTTCACTAAGATTCATACCCATCATTAAAAACAATATGAAAAATCCCCAAAACATTAAATTATGCACCCACAGTCAAAATGTGCAGCAAACAAATCTGATTAATGCAATGCAGGCAGAAAAAGCAACGCGCAGTAAATAATCTTTATGTTGTGTAAGAAATGGACATTTTTTCTTTTAGGGTCCAGTTTGTTTTGAAGATGTCGCTGTTTGTTTCACGGCTGAGGAGTGGGCGTTGCTGGATCCTGCCCAGAGAGCTCTGCATAAGGAAGTCATGGAGGAGACTTGTAGGATCATGAACTCTCCCGGTAAGGTTCCCTGTTTGGTCATAATACTTGTTTTGAAATTCAGTCAATATTTTTAGATCAAAAACCTCCCAGATTTTGATGGACATTGCCACCTAGAGTGTCAGGAGATGTGTGTTCATCTGAATTCATGATATGGTTTGTGTCTGTAGATAGATTGACATAACTCTAATACGACACGAAAGTCGAAGCCTTATTCCCGCATCCTGCAAGGCATTCTGGAACATTCTGAGTTCACACACATCAGGCATTATCAACACATGCAAATATAGGGTTGCACAGTGCAGGATACTCAGCTCCCCAGCGGGATCCACCCACCCCATGGCAAGGGGGTGTAAAGGCAGGTTGGAGACAGAGATGTGTAGGTTCAGATCATTGCTCACGATCACAAGTCTTTCGCTTTGTTGTTAAACGGAAACAGGATGACCAAAGATGGGCAAGGTGAGAAAGAGGCAGGAAGATCCTGACGGAATTATGCAAATTGTAGGAATCACTGCCCCCTCTCCTATTGTCAGGGGCTGGACTGAGGAGGAATGGTGGGGGCTGCCCCCCTTCATCTGAACCTTCCCGTGGGCAAGAGGACAGTATAGATTTAGAACCGTGGTTTGCAGACGGTCATAGTTCAGAGGCTGCAGAGGGGAGAGCCTTTTTCACACGAAGCTGTTCCTCCTGCTTCTGTATCTAAGGGAAGAAGCAGCTCAGCATGTCAGCCAAAAGGTTTTCCCAAAGAAAGCACCTCTGGGGGTGCCTGACACACGCAGCTGGTCCTGGGCTCCTGCTCTGGAGAAAGAAAACTCAAGAGAGGGAGGGAAGGGTGCACTGCTTACGCTCCTATTCCCAAGGGTTAAAAAGAACTGAGCTAGATTCCTAGAGAGGACAGGAAATAAATCTAAGACAGGCAGGTCTTTCAGAGGAAAAGCCCCTTCCTCCAAAGTCCCTTCCTGCAAGAGGAGGGGGCTGTGGTCTCCTTTGCAAATGGTGCTTCGGTGGCAACACCTGGGCTCTGGTGCAGTCCAGTCCTGGTTTCTGAGCCAGATTCATCCAAACCTGCTCAGTTTCTATTTGTTTCCGTCAATTTTTGGTGGACCAAAGAGATGATTTACTTTAGAGATGAAGAGGATTTCATGAACGGGCCAAACAAAATCCATCCCAGAAAAGAGCCAGACTTTTCGAATCTGAGGTTGCCATAAAGATGGCTGTGGATTGTATTAATATTTCCTTGTATTAATATTTCCCATCTAAATCCTTTCAGTTCTTCCTCTCTCACAAGCGCTAATGAGCATTGTTCAATAATTGGGGGCTTCATATCATCCTGACGCTCTAATTCATCTCTCTCTTCATTTCAGGTGTTGAGGAATTAGAAATGAATAACAAGGGAAACAATGAGAAAATTCACACAGTGCAGAAGCCATATCAGTCTTTGGAATGTGGAGATACCTTCACTAACAGCTCCAATTCCATGTCTCATCAAAATCCCATTGGGAATAAACCATATCAGTGCTTGGCTTGTGGAAAGAGCTTCACCAGGAAGGACAATCTCACTTTCCACCAAAGAAGTCATAAAGGAGAGAAACCCTATCAGTGCTTGGAATGTGGAAAGAGCTTCAGGAGAAAGGACAATCTCACTTGCCATCAAAGAATCCATACAGGGGAGATTACATTATGCTCAAATTCAAGAGGTTTTTAAAATGGATAAAAAGGTGGGTTTCCAGGTGGAAAAATCGAAACTAGAGACAGAATTGTTAGAACCAAAGACTAAGACTTTATCGAGAATGTATAACTTGCTGCTTAAATGGAATACACAGGATGAGGTAGTTAAATCTGCCATGATAAAATGGGCACAGGATGTTGGACACAACATAATGTTTGAAGACTGGGAAAGGTTATGGAACACCGGAATGAAGTTCACGGCATGTACTGCCTTGAAGGAAAACATTATGAAAATGGTATACCGGTGGTACATGACCCCAGTCAAGCTAGCCAAAATATATCACCTGTCTGACAATAAATGTTGGAAATGTAAGGAGGCAGAAGGGACATTTTTCCATCTCTGGTGGACCTGCCCAAAAGTGAAGGCCTTTTGGGAAATGATACACAATGAATTAAAAAAGGTATTTAGGTATACCTTTTCTAAGAAACCTGAGGCCTTCCTGCTGGGTATGGTGGACCAGAAAATGTTAAAGAAGGATAGAACTTTGTTTATGTATGCAACTACAGCAGCAAGAATACTCATCGCAAAGAACTGGAAGACACAAGATTTACCCACGCTGGAGGATTGGCAGACGCAGTTGATGGACTACATGGAATTAGCTGAGCTGACTGGCAGAATCCGAGATTTGGATGAAGAAATAATCGAGGGAGACTGGAGAAAATTCAAAGACTATTTGCAAAAACATCATAAGCTATATGAATCTTAAGTCAGTGCATGATCTAGAAATACTATGCTTTGGCAAACAGGATTAAGTAAATGTTAAAATAAGTGATAAAAAAGAAAAGGAGACAATTTAAATTGAACATGTTATGTTTATTTTAAAAGTATTGAAATTAAGATACAATATATTGAATTTGGATGCATAACAAATTGAAAGTTACAATAAGGTATGAAACAAGGTAACAAATTGCTGACATTATTAAACTATAAAGAATGCAGTTCCGGAGGGTGTGGGGAAGTCCAAATATGGAATGGTTTATATACCCTTTTTGGTTTGATCTTTAATTTGTTTTTGAATGTAAAAGAAAAGAAAAATTGTTTCTTGCATTTAATGTTTTTGTGGTGTTTGGATTGTTTGAACTTATGGAAAGGAACGCAATAAAAAATTTATTAAAAAAAAAAAAGAATCCATACAGGGGAGAAACCCTATCAGTGCTTCGAATGTGGAAGGAGCTTCAGTATGAAGGCCTATCTAACTTGCCATCAAAGAATTCATACAGGGGAGAAACCCTATCAGTGCTTGGAATGTGGAAAGAGCTTCTGTCAGAGGATCAGTCTCACTTTCCACCAAAGAATCCATACAGGGGAGAAGCCCTATCAGTGCTTGGACTGTGGAAGGAGCTTCCGTCAGAGGGTCAGTCTCACTTCCCACCAAAGAGGTCATACAGGGGAGAAACCCTATCAGTGCTTGGAATGTGGAAAGAGTTTCAGTAAGAAATACTATCTCACTTCACATCAGCGAATTCATACAGAGGAAAAACCTTATAAGTGCTTGGAATGTGGAAAGAGCTTCACCAGGAAGGACAGTCTCACTTCCCATCAAAGAATTCATACAGGAGAGAAACCCTATCAGTGCTTGGAATGTGGAAAGAGCTTCAGTTGCAGTTCCTATCTCACTTCCCATCAAACCATTCATACAGGGCAGAAACCCTATCAGTGCTTGCATTGTGGAAAGAGCTTTGACAGGAAGGACCGTCTCACTTCCCATCAAAGAATTCATACAGGAGAAAAACCCTATCAGTGCTTGGAATGTGGAAAGAGTTTCAGTTGCAGCTCCAGTCTCACTTCTCATCTAAAAATTCACACAAGGCAGAAACCCTATCAGTGTTTGGAATGTGGAAACAGCTTCAGTCGGAATATTGATCTCACTTCCCATCAAAGAATTCATACAGGGGAGAAACCATATCAGTGTTCAGAATGTGGAAAGAGCTTCAGTTGGAAGATATATTTGTCTTACCATCAAAGAATTCATACAGGGGAGAAACCCTAATAATGCTTGAAATGTGGAAAAAGCTTCACCTGAAATTAAAGTTTCACTTCCCATCAAATAACTTGCAGGGGGAATATAATAGAATTATAAGATTGTAGTGTTTGAAGGGACGGTGAGGGTCATCTTGTCCAACCCCCTGGCAATGTTGTGATGTAGTGCCTGGTCCTCAAGGTCAGCCAGTGATATTCATGGCTGAGAGGGATTTTAGTAGTAGTAGTATTAGTAGTAGTAATTGTTGTGTTGTAGTTGTTATATTTATACCTCACCCATCTGGCTGGGTTTCCTGAGCCACTATGGGCGGCTTACAGCATATATATATATATATATATATATATGCAGGTTTTGGTGTCTTCGGGTGTCTTCCCGTGTAAAAGTTGGGGTGTCTAGGCGACGTTTCGATGAGGTCTCACTCGTCATCTTCAGGCTGGTGCTTTCGGCTTCTTGTTACTGGAACAGAGCAGGATCTCAGTGTTTGGGTTCCTATAAATACTGTTGAGGGGGTGTGGTGTATAGCCTCCAACGTTCTGGGCAGAGAGGAAGTTCCCAGGTTAGTGTGCCTTTTCTTCTTTTGTTCCTTAATTACTTGAGGGATATCTTGAGTGATTTCTTGAGTGATATTCTGAGTACCACTTAGGCGGGTCATTAGGTGTGGATTAGTTGCTAAAGCCTTCGTGTCTTGACCTCTTGAGCTTGTGAAGAGTTTTTCTGAGAAGATGGCTGTACTGCACTTAGTTGTGCTCTGGCTTGGCTTCGTGTATAAGGGCGAGCTGTGGTTTTGTGCCCTGTGCCAGCCAGATCTGTGTAGGGATTGCAGGGGGGTGCAGCAT